CCAGGTAAGCTCGCCTCAGTAACGTTTTTTGCCAACTTTGAAGGCTCATAACTTTCTTAGGAAGTTCACGTAGCAGTTTTAGTGTCCATATTTGTAATCAGCGTTCAAGACTCTATCGATATATCTAGGTCTCCTTCCAAAGTTCCATGGGAAGTTCAAAGCATTTCCTGGTAAGAGGCAATACACTAAAACGTGATTTGACCACTTGATTGTGTGCCCTATCAGAATCTCAAACAATCTCCACCTCCAAGGAGTTGAAATATGTATTTGAATAATAGTCAAGAAATTTGTACTAGTTAAAATAATTCAGATATGAGGACGCTCACGTAATGGAATAACTCGGAGCACTGATAATTCGAGTTATGAGGTTCTGAATATGTGTTAGAAGCGTGAAGTTTCCGAAGGGCCTAGCTCATCATAATCTTCCTTGGTTTAGGAACAGAACTTTCAATCCAACGCTCGACTAGCAGTACAGCATTGAGAATAGGGAAGAATTAGCATTAATCATGAACTTTTATTCCAGTTACCCTGTTTGGACGGAAGCGTTAGTGGCAAAGGTGACGCTTACCACGCGAGCGGTCCAGGGATCAAATCCTGGGTCGTGAGTCGCCCGGGCCAACCAAGCCTTCCATCCCTCCGGGGTCGGTTAATTGGTACCAGACTTGTCTGGGAGGATAAAAACACTGACTTATACGTCGGTTGAGTTACGTAACATTGGTCAAATTGCGTTCAAGGTGCGATCACGATTATGAGCGGAAGTAGAATGTGAGGCGCATCCCAGGAACGTCACTGACACTGAAATCAATGTCCAATGCTTCATCCTCAATCTTTCAAAGACACATTTCAAAATAATTTTAATAGATGAGAGGGGTCGCGTTTATTTTCACTGCGGCATCTTTGACCTTGTTGCATATGGAGAACGCTCAGCATTCATCAAGGGTTATTGAATCTAGCAAAGACGACAATCATGGATATCAAGGGTGATTCTTGATGTATCCTCCACGTGTAAATGGATAAACATCTGTGATACTCCAGTTATGTTTATCTAGGTCAAAAAGAGTAAACATGATGGACGACATCGTTGCGGAGCTGAGCGAGGAAAGTTCAGAGTTCCATCTCAGCAGCCGATCAAAAATCAGGGACGTTGGCGTATTAGCCAAGACATCGGAGACTACTAGGCCGAATACGTTACGTCATGCGACATGTTGATGACCAATGGACCAGATCCATGAGGAACTCAATCAAACATTCAATTCGATCTCTGTCCCAATTCAACGATCACTTTGAGAAATGTGATTGGCACAACTTACCTCGGCGCGATCTACAAGGCTCTCTGACAGGGCCAACATCAACATCGCTCATGACGAGACGTGATGTTGATGTGTCCCATAGGTCAGGATTTTCGGTCCTCGTACGCAAAGAGTTCACGGTGGGTGCGGTGGTGGAGGGAGGAGAACACTGTCGTGCGGAGAGCCCAATTCCTCCAACATTCCTTCCCCTACTCCATCGTTCTTGGGCCAACTTCAAGGGAGGCAGGGATAGGGGTGTGTACGCGAAATCTCTCTTCAATGAAACCACCACTCCCAAAGCGTGATGAGTCGTATAGCTTGTAAACAGGGGGATGAGTGGGCATGAGGGCTTTTTATACAAATATCGGTGCAGCACCACCAATTTTTGTCGTCGTACTCGGCAGGTGGCGATTCTTTGCATGGTCATCAATCAATTCGTTCCAAGATACTGATAAAAGGATGAACTTAAGAAGTCCGTTCGTCCGAGGATGCGGCCATACATTCTTTTCTATTTAGATCGGCAGAAACCCCTTGATAGTCAGTTGGCCCGCGTACATGGTGACTTGGGGGTCAGCCAATGTTCAAGATAGTGTTTTATCCTTCCACTCAGTTTTGGCACCAGTTGACTGACATCGAAAGGACGGAAGGCTTGTTCGCCTAGGCGAGATTCGATCCTGCGTTTTGACTACCATTTTAAGAGACGCCCTTTACTACCCGGCCGCCCCTGTGAGGCGTTAATAGGAAGACAGAAAATGCATCGACCAAGCGCTAATAGGTAAAATATGAGTAATGTCCGGGCCGTGGATGGGACGGTTTAGCAATAGAGAAAGCCATCTCTGAAGCAGGCTCTATTTATTTATCTTACGGTTAGCAATTTAACAAAAAACTCTCCTTAGATACTGGATTCAAACAGCTCGACGAGTAACTGAAGACGCGAGGCAGAAGCTTACGAATATAGATCCAATTGATGTCGGAATCACGACCGAGTAAGTCAAACGTCCTGAAAGGGTAGCTTTATGGAGACGGTAGAAAGACGAGCAGGAGGGAATGAACTTACGCGGCGATGTTGTGCAGGTGTACTGGGAGGTATGACAAGGCAAACATGCACACGACAGCTATCAACATTCGCACGGCCTTCTTACGATTTGCTACTTGCCGTTTGCCAATTCTGAAAAACAGAGCCTTTGTGAGCATTTTGGGTTTCAACAGCATGGTCGATAGATTTTCTGGTATACAAGTTTTTGTGAGATTTTTTGGGCGGCAATACTTTCCAGCACCTTCTGTCCAGAAACGTTTTTTTTCATTTGTTCTTCAATGTGGCTTCTTTTGAAGGTAGCCTCTACGGCCAGAAAGGTCCTTCAAAGCCCGGTCTTAAAGGCATGGGTCGGGATCAGGTGGGGTGTTGTGGCATTGAATGTGACAGCAGAAATGCAAGGCAGCGCTGTGCACGAGTGTCCGGACTTTTCCGATCGTGTAGGCTCCACACCAGCAATTGGACTGCTGCTATTCACTAATGCTGCTACCAATTCGTGCTCGAGATGAAATACTATTTGAGTGATGTGTTATGTGTCGTTCCACAAGGCCAAGCTACATATATCGTACACCTCTAGCAGTGTGAGGTCATAGACAATGACAGGCAGCTACCGCCTAATACCAAGCTGGGGATTGCCGTGCCGTCTCAAGTGGGAGAGCGTGAGATCACCCCTCTTATTGCAGTGTCGGCCATATCAGTGATGGAAGGAGATTCTTTGACCGCCTCACACCGACCCGCTTTAAAGGCAAACTCCGGGATTAAACTGGTGCTATCAGCGCTTCGTAGTGATAGCTTAGCTGCGGAACGACCTGAAAGTGGAAAGGAAAGCAAGAGAAATCTTTGGGAACGCTGAAATTAAGGCCTTAACCTTCAATAGGTCGGATGTGGTACGATGGCGAGAAAGGGCGGTCAAAGAAGACAAAATACGCGAGAGAGCACGTCGTTTGAGAGAGCACGCTGATCTCTACATCAATGCACGCTGATCTCACCACCTCTCGCGCATCGTTGGGAGAGCACGATGTCTTAATCAAGAAGTTTTTACCACCTCTCGCGTCGGTGGAATGCTCTGGAAAAGAGTCGATGGTTGCGGCCGTAAGATAGCCCCAGCGCCAGATTTTGCCGCATCTAGTGAACCCAGTTATACGGAACCTTTATAGAATTTCCTCGTGAATCACTCTTCTATTGGGCTATCCGAGGTTGCCTTAAAGACTGCTGAAGAGACGATTTTATTGAACGAAATCTAGCGTTCCTCCTTCAGCCCGTAGTTCTAAATCAAATAGTGGTAGCAACTGTTATATTTTTCGACCTAGAATGTCTGACTGCATTACTTTCGAACACAAGTGATCGATGGCTTTCAAAAATTAATAATTAATGGAGCTTCACTATGAGCGATATCTAACGTTCTGTTAATTATTGCACCTGCCAGTTGTTGATATTAGTTTGGCAGATGTTGTTGTCCAGTGCGATACCTAGCCGCAGTACAAAGGCACCCACAATTTGCAAAGATCAAGAATAAGTGTTTTTTCAGTAGTCTCATATTGATCTACATTTCTGTTTTGAATAACAAAATGAGAAATTAATTAGAAAAAAGAAGCTACATTCTAGCGTTTAATAACCATTTTTTTCGTGGAACCATATTTAATTCAAAATACATTGATGATGAAAATACTGGATAATAATTGCCATTAGCAAAAAGAGCTTAAGAAATCTAGTCTGAAACAGTACGAAAAACGAAAAAAAAAACAGCTAGAATTTTCAAATTTCATAGGATTTCGCAGTCCGGCAGGAGATTTAGCTCCTGAGGGAGAGAAGATAACTTTTTGTGTGACATTGTTTTTGATAAGAAAAAATAAGCACGAAAACCTGAGCCAAAAAGAACCATTCTTGGAATTGAGAAAATTCAAAACTCCCAAAAAGTAGTCTTCCCGAGTGCAGAAATAAAATCGATGCCCTTGGAACCTGAGAATTCTGTCGGAGTTTAGTATGGGGATATGCAGTGGAATACGTGTTCACAGAAATTGATCAATACCAAGCCCTTCTATCTCATTATTTCAATATGAAACGATTACTGGAAAAATTAAAGTAAGCGTGGTCGCATTCTTCAAAAAAAGGACCGGCCTAACAAATAGAAGAAAGAAGAAGCCATAAAAAGTTTTCTGAAAGGCTTAAACACCATTATTTTCCCAAAAAATTTCTGAATTTTCAAATCTTCATAATAGAATAAATGAAACAAAGCTGTTCTGCTTTGAATCCGTTTTTTATCTGATGAACGTTAACTCACGACATTTCGCATTTGTTCAAAGTTCTGCTCATATGTAGACATAGAACAGAGATGAACAGCAGAGGTGACAAAGTAGGCGCACAACGTCAGCACAATCTGGTACTGCTGTTCGGTTTCACTTGACCACGAGGCGATGCATCGAGTGCCCCACTGAAAGTTTCTCTATTTTGCCTTTCATTGACTTCAAGCTTACTTCCTGTGAATGCAATGAAAACAGCAGGAGTAGATTAAGAAGAGCTTTTGGAAACCTACTGTTGACGAAAAATTTTGCCGACGAAATTGAGCGCTTTTCAGTTGAAGGGTATACGGTTCTGGTGAAGACATCGCCATTGCCACTATCCATGTACCTGAAATTTTTGAAAAAAAAATTTGAAATTGTGTTGCTACATCAAGCAAAATTACTTGTTGGTCATTATTTGTATTACATGAGTGCGTGATCATTACTTGAAGAGCACTGTGTTCCATATTTCATTAACTTTAAAATTTAGTTCCTAAATACCTGCATCTAGTGGACAGCTGGCAGACAATTGGGCCAAGGGGATGCATGGAAGGAATTGCGTGGTGGGGAGGTCACGTATTAGGGGATTGTTGATAATAAGGAATAATCCAGCTTTTACAACTCGAGAGCGGAAACAAAAGCTATAGCGCGGTAGATTAGATATCAATAGAGAAGTGATATTCCTGTCATGACTGAGGAGGTCATAAAGCTTTCCCGATCCTGGATCAAGTGAGATTCTGAGAGTCAAACGAAGCCGTCCTTCAAGTAGTAAGCAATGAACAAAAACGAAAAAAAGTTTGTAATTTTTACCGGCAATGATGTATCGAGTGGCCTGCAGGGGACTTTTCAGTGGGCAGGTGATTGCTCGCCATCGCTCAAATGTGATGAACATCAACGAGAGAATGCTCACGTAGACACTCGTGTTCTGAAAAAAAAAATGATTTTTTTGATACTTCAAGATCAGTTCAACTTAAAAAGGCTCTTTCCGTTCCAGTCTTCAAACACGAAGTATCCCGGGAAAAGTGAAGCGACATGTCAATCGACATGTTTCGGCATTCGTTCGATGAAAGCAGTGCTTGTAACAATGGTTTATTTCTCTATTTTTTCGTTTATTGTTTTTTTTTGTTTGATACAAGCTGAGGGTTTGCCCCATGGCACGAATGCAGGGAAATGTAGGTTTTTCGGGCAATCAGATCACTCAAGCAAGTCTGAGTGTTTGCGCTGCGTCCAGTCTCAAAATCTTGAGCCCAGAAACCTCCCCCCACGCCCCCCCCTGCTCGTCAACCAAATTTATTAGAAAGTCTTATAGCTGCTAAGCGCAAAAACATTATTTGAAACATTCATTTTTCCATAACAAGAGGAGGAGATAGAAAACTATCTTTTCCGAAACCTCGAACAACTATAAGAGCCAAGTTCTTTACTGTTCGAAGTGGATTTGCATATCTCAGACTAACTAAAAGTGACTCTTTCGGAAGTGGTTCTATGAGTTCATTCAAACGTGCTGCAGCTAAAGTTACTCTTACGGCGTAGATATTACTCAATGTGTTCATTTCATTTGTCATTAGCTTTCTTGTAATTGATGTTCCATTCTATTTCACCTATTTTACACGACTGTCTTATACAGCGTATTATAATAAATAAATAAATAAATAAATATGTACTTCCATCTCTAAAAATGCTCATTTAGTTGAGTGTGCAGGATCAACAGTTGCGTTGGATAATAATTATAGAACTGGACGACACCCCTCCCCCTGTAGAGGACCTTCAGACCCTCCGACCACAATGACGGTTTCTACTATAGGGCTATAATTAAAAGAATCATTTACGGAAACGTATCAGCTGGCACGTTAAATTGCGCTAATTCTTTCTACTGTGGAAACCATCGAAAGAATAGGATGCAGTAGAAAAGAAAAAAAATTATTGCCGTAGATGGAAGGGTACAAAAAGAGTACCTATAAAGGTACTCCATGATCCAGTAGAAGAGTTTCCACAGCCACTATTTGTGACAGATGTACGACAGTGGTTTGAAATCGTAATAGTTCTTTCGGTTTTTCGAATTGTCTATCAAAACAAAGCAATGTTTTTGTTCTTTTCGGTGTTTCTGTGAGTGATGGTTCTCGAGCCAGTGATTTATGGGTGAGTTAGGGGTGTTCCTTGGACGATTCCTGTCATCCTGCACTTGCCGCTAACGAAAAGATCAGCTGCTGAAACATGAAAACTCCGTCTAAACTTTGTGGATTTTTTTTCCATTATACACTAAAAAATCTAAAATTTTCCCCATCAATGTTCTTTTTTCCATGCCCCTTCGAAATATGACTCCCTTCAGGAAATTAGAAAATGTGACCTATTCCATGGGACTTCTCAACGGCGGACCTTGGAGGGGAAGGAAGAGATTTGATTGCGAAACTTTTTGAAGGTCTTCAAAATCCATGGAAAAAATGTTCCAGCACTTGAAAAAAACTTCCAATAATTTCCTGGCTCAAGTAAGATGTCTGCCACTTTGTCAAATGCGACTCATCCCTGAAACCACAAATGTGACCCTCCCCCTTGTGCTTGAACAGCAGGGGGCTTAATTTGACTGGAAATGAAAACTACACTAATAACCTTAGTTCCCTTAGCTTGAGACTAAAGTAGACTAGACTAAAGTATGAAAGAGATTTCACTAGTTGAACCGTATGCCCTTTAAAGGTTTGCCTCCCCGAGCAAACGCACGCAAGGTGGTCATCGGAATGTTATGAAAATAGAGTTCAGCGCTGAAGCGAGCGCCGCTTACTGGGCACAGAAGAACCCTAAGTGATATGTTGCGTTGCAAAAAAATAGAAACAATTTTTTGTCTATACGGAATCTTGACCTTAAAGATAGATGATACGATGAATGGTGAGTCCTATCGGTGTTGAGATCATCAAGTTGGTTGTTGGCTAGGAGCGAGGATAGAGCTGCTTGAGGTACAACAATGAAGAAAAATTAAGGAAAAGCGGCCCAAAATTCGCAGGCGGGAAGCTTATTTTCCCCATAATTCGAGGGAACGTGGGTCTTATCGGTGCTGAGATCATCAATGTGAGCGCTTTGCTCTGCCTCTCTGCCAAACAGCTGGAATCCGATGGTGAGGGGCTAGCAGCAGGGTGTTCATTCATGAGCGGGCACAGCCGCGAGGGGAATTTACCGCCGCTGGAAAGGCTATATTAGGCTACTACGGGAGCACGTAACAATTCCGCCCTCCTGAAAGACCGTTCTCCCTTCATAATAGTCGTATTTCCGTTTCTCCTGCCCAATTTACCGTCAGCTGTAATAGGGGGCCTTAATTTTGAGACCATTTCAGAAATTAGAAGAAAGCCCGGCAGAACAAGGCAGAAAAAACAGATGGTTGATGAGCAATAAACGTGGGATGACTTCGTGATGCGTCGCGCCGACTCGACTTCTACTCAGTTGTAACGACCTTTAAATTGAGGGTTTGTACAGTGCAAGCATGGCTCACAGGGAGCAATCGTAACAGCACTTATATCCTCTTGAGGAGTAAATGGTGACCTCGAGGTGCGGAAAACTTGGATGGTCAGAACCAGGATTTTATTCTCCGTCTAAACGTGTGGTAAGCTATCATACCACCTCCACCTCCTTCATTTACAACGCAAATGTTGAAAGGACTGCTCGTGATTGACAACGGATTGATCAGCCCCTGAAGAAGTCTTTCCTCAGTGCCCTCTGATGAACGTTTATGTTTGTTCCATCCATTTGTTTTCCCACGATTATTTCAGAGACAGCTAAGGAATTCGATGGGAACTAACGAGAGTAAACATGAGTAAGTAAAAAACAAAAACAGTTTCCACTAAGCCCGTACACGCTTAACTTCAAATGTTTTCACTCGCATATTAATGTGCCTGGAAATGAACTCCATTGAAAAATCATCAGAACACAACGATTGCTTAGTCCAAGGTAGTGGCCGCTGTCCGCTGTACTAAGATGAACAAAAGAAGGGAATTGTGCTTAAGATTTTTGTAGGTACCGACTCGTTCTTCAGTCCTGTTTATGTAGTGATGGTGACGAAGGTCGCATTTGAAATTTTCGGAAGGATCGTGGTGGTCGAAGGCGGTCGTCTTACATTGGATGGGGATAGACACTCAATGGGTCGTTTCTTACGGGATGTCGATGCTTATGGTGGAAACTTTAGAAGTGTGAAGTAGGCAATAGAGGAAATCAAAGCGCTCCGGTTAGAAATGCTTACTCCAAGCCCATGGTTGACGGTGGTGGTGGGTGGTGGGAGAACGTTCACTCAAGAGAGGAGGGGGGGGGCGTTAAAATTTCTGTAGTCGGCACAAGAGAGATTTGCTCTTGGTCCAAAGATCAAGTACCGCAGAATCAAGTCATCCTACCATTCTCTCTTGCTCAATAGGGTCACACTTGATATTTCATTTGTTTGTCAGAGAAAGAAAAACGTAGCAGAAATCGGTTGACACTCTGCAGTTCATGCCTAAGCCAAATGCACTGCTAGCTGCCCTTGCGATTTCTGATGAAAGTGAAGTGGACGGCGCAACCTAAAAAAGTTGACCATCGCCGGCCCGGCTCTTTTTTTCTTTTTTAAGAGCACGTCGAGGTTCACAAGTCAGGAAGTATTGCAGCTAAGTAATTTGCAAAGCGCGAGAATTGTTCCAAAAAAAAGCTCCAATTCTATGGTCGTACGACCCACGACTTCATAGGAACTTGTGAGCGCCGCGATCGTAGAGAGCTGTTTGCTGTGAAATATTGATAAAAGGCTAAGACAAGGAAATTGTCGTCATATTAGCGATGATAAGTAGGGTCATAAAAGCGAGAGAAAAGTTGGGGCCATCAAGACGGCTAAATAAAAACCTACCACCTTTTTGCCATGCAGATAGGCTCTAGGGCAAGAAGAAATAAGTAGGAGGAATTAGACGCGTACGTCAACGAAAACGTCGCTTTTTCGAATACGCCACTTATCCAACTTCCATCGTAATAATGTTGGCAGCAGTTGAATGGGTGTCGGGCGCCCTATCATAGTCTACTCGATGAGATCAGCTGATTTTGGAAATCAGGATAAGCTGAGTAATTAAGCTATGGTGATACATGGTGTTGCGCAATGTAGTAAAACAAAAGTATACCAGAATAAACTGCCTTGGCCTGCATTCCCTTGCAAAAGATCATAGGATTGAAAAAAGGCAGCCGTGCAAATTACAACCAGATTTGTAACGTCGTTCAAAAAGTTGTACATCCATTTTGGTACTGGCGACTGCCATTGTGCTCAAGATTGAATACGGCAAGTTTGCGCTGGGCGGAAACGGTGTAGTGGCAAGCGGCGCTGCTTGTGCACGCTCACGCTTCGGTGATGAATCCTAACTGTATGCAGTCCAGCATAATCGGCCTACCTTTTCTCCGGGGGTCGGTATAATTGTCCCCAAGTCATATGGATGTTAAACGAATGACTATGCCTTAAGCCAGGGTCAACCCTATGTTGCTACAAGTAGCAACGGGGGGTCGTATTTTGGTGAGTTTGTAGGGGGGGTCGTACTTGCTTAGGTTGTAAGAAGTGGCATGTGATGAGAGGGGAGCGAAATTTGCCGTTTCAGCGTTTCAGCGTATATACCCCCCCCCCCCTAGAAAATGGAGCAGTTGAAATATGGGTAAAACATAGGGAAATTGCAAGGAAATGTAGGGAATTTTTGCGGTTTTAGGGAAGTATATACCCCCCCCCCCCGCTCGACGGTAATTTTTTGGGGTAAAAATTGGTCGGAAAAGGGGGGGGGGTCGTAGGAAACTTTTCCTGAAGGAGGGGGGTCGTAAAAACTTTTCGAAAAGTAGCAACGATAGGACTGACCCTGCTCAGGTCCTTTGTCTTGTGAGAAAACGCACCCAGGATGGTGACCGCTCTGACACCGATGTAAGCATTCAAGTGGCAACGCAGCAAATGGACCTGCGGGGCCAAGCCAAGTCAGTGGTTTTAGCATCCCATATGACTTGGGACCAATTAACCGACCCCGGAGAAAAGGTAGGCTGATTATGCTGGACTGCATGCAGTTAGGATTCATCACCGAAGCGTGAGCGTGCACAAGCAGCGCCGCTTGCCACTACACCGTTTCCGCCCAGCGCAAAGTTGCCGTATTCAATCTTGAGCACAATGGCAGTCGCCAGTACCAAAATGGATGTACAACTTTTTGAACGACGTTACAAATCTGGTTGTAATTTGCACGGCTGCCTTTTTTCAATCCTATGATTTTTTGCAAGGGAATGCAGGCCAAGCAGTTATTCTGGTATACTTTTGTTTTACTCCATTGCACAACACCATGTA